AACATCTCTCTCTCTTTCTTTCTCTCTCTCTCTCTCTCTCTTTCTCTTTCTCTTTCTCTCTCTCTCTCTCTACCTCTCTCTCTCTCTACCTCTCTTTCTCTCCCCCTCTCTCTCACACAAGTACATGCACCCATCTACCCCACCCACACTCAGACACACACTTACTTGATAGTGTAGACACACCTTCTATTCGTACATTACATAAAATACCCTGTAAAACAATGGAAATCCTGAATCTTGCGCAGCGCAATGAACAGTAATTGAAAGTGACGGTTATAATTCAAGATGGAGATCAATACTTACCCAATACATCAATAAGCAGACTCCATTAATGCCCGAAAGCTGTGAATAGTTCCTGATGGGTTACGTCATACAGAAGCTTCACGTCCACTCCAGAGGAAGAGGTTATTGATTACATCGTCACGCACAAGTCTCGCTTAGAAATCGTAAAAACTCGTGACCTCAGCGCTTAAATCGAAGGAGATTTTAGACAACGTAAATTTGTCAAAGCAAGCGATTTAACCAGAGGGTCGTGACATCACTTAACATTTAAGGCCAGCATAAAATTATTATTATTTCCACCAATGCCGATGTTGAAAAAGCTCCAGCTAGAGGTTTCGATTCCGACTGGGTCAAATCGTGAGCATTTTTGTTTTTGAAAGTATACTTTTCTTTGTTAGACATTGATGGACAAACTATTGTTATCAGCAGACTGCAATCGTCAGCAAAGTAAAGAGAAATGAAACAGAGAAAAGTGCAACATAATGAAAAAGATGAAACCTTGTCCAATAAAAAAAGGTCTGGCGGAATGCCACGACATTATTATACAAGTTTATTCTATTATTTACACAAGTTATGGCAAGAGTTGTCAGCCGCGTTGGATTATCTCGACGGTTCAATTGAAGAAACCCGTTTGTCTAAAATCGACTTTTTTGTTGCTTTTTCGGGGCCGCAGATCTTTTTTCGTCACTTTTTCGATGTGAGGGTGGGACTGAAAAATTTATATGAACACTTTAGTTTATTTGATGTTAAGGAAAATATTCATCTTTTAAATATTTTAGGTGTATACTGTAAAAACCATATTCTTTTTTTACCCGCTTTAGGCTTACATAAAAAGCGTCTAGGAATTTGTAGTTTGCATTGGCCTTTATGAATGGCTTTTCAGATTCTGTTGGTCATCCAACATTTAGACCAATATGAAAAGATCTGAAAAGATTAAACAGGGAGATTTCTTTTTACCTTGTTTTAACCGAGATCAGACTGAAGTGAAGAAGCTATAACATCTATTTCCATACTATGCAATCAGATCTCGCCCAAAGCGTACATGTGTAATTGCCATGTCTTTCTGAGTGGGGAATCGACAAGTAGGTTGTTGGAGGGAGCCACTGGTACAGCCTACTTTACTTCTTTTCTTCTCCTTCGTAACTTCTGTCTGTATTTCTTGTTGTTACCTCTGTATTTAAGGGCTGCTATTGTGTCGATGTGTTTCTCTTTACCCAAACAAACAAATAAGGAACGACACAATTTCTTTTCTATCTTACCCTATAACTTTGTTAGGATTAGCTTCAGACCTGAATTTGCCATGCAGGGGTGTACTAAGCACCAACAAAGGTTTTGGTGAATAAATTTCGATATTGAAAGATGTCCAGGTACGATAATTTCAGCTTTCTATAGGTCACATCGCGAACATGCCCTTTTAACCATATCCGTACGTCGTGTTTTACTATCGTATCCATACGACGTGGGGAACTCTGTACCACCACTTTCCAAAGAGGAAATTTACTCGTTAATCCGATTCGTACGCTTTGCATAGCAGTCTGTCAAAAGGTGTTTTTAAAAAAAATACTGCAAGTTTCAAAGAGATCTTCGTACTAGAAGTATTCTAAAATGTGAAGAATACAACCCCGGGGGTACAAAATGACCCCAGGGCGTACGGATAGGGACAATGTAGGGCGACTTCCTGCCGCAATTTCTGTTTTCTGCGTGTCTACAAAAGCAAAAACTACAAAAAGCCCGACCAATCAAATAAAAAGATTCAAATAAGAATTATCTCTTTCAGACGTAAGTTCCATCTCTGTGGAATTGTAAGAGATGATAGGGTTACTATCAAGGGAAATAACCGTGAATTTCATTCTCGTGTGATACCCTTTGCATTATACTGGCAATGAATAAGTGCCCTTGAGTTTTTACACGTGCGCGCGCAAACACACCCACATAGACACACGCACAAACACACACACAAACACACACACACCCTCACACACACACACCAACACACAAACAAACACCCAAACACACACA